CGGCCCCTCCCCCTCCTCGTCCTCGCTGTTCTCCTCCGTGGAGCCCCCGTAGGGGTCAAACCTGAACAAGGGGGCGTGGTCAGACCGTGGCCACGCCCCCCCCAGAGGTGTGACCACGCCCACAATGTGTGGACACACCCCCAAGGTGCGGCCACGCCCCCTTTTACCCCAAACTCACTCCTCTGATTGGTCCTCGCCGTCGCTGTCGGATTCGGGGGGCGTGGCCGGCGCTGAAGGGGGCGTGGCCTCCTTAGGGGCGTGGTCAGGAGGGGGCGGGGCATCCTCAGGCTCCTCCCCCTCACTGCCGGGGGAGGCGGAGCCGTCCAGGAGGTACCTGAGGGTGAGGCCACGCCCATTTTAGGGTGTGGTCGCTTAAAACACCACCCAAAAGGGGGCGTGGTCAAGCTGGGCGTGTCCCCAGGGGTGATGGGCGTGTCCCAGGGTGGGTGTGGCTCATCTGGGTGTGGCCTATGGGGGCGTGGCCACATGTGGGAGTGGCCTGGGCAGGGTGGGCGTGTCCCCAATGGGGTGGGCGTGTCCCAAGTTGGGTCTATCCCATTGTGGGCGTGTCCTCAAATGCAGTGGGCGTGTCTTGGACTGGGTGGGCGTGTCCAGGGTGGAGTGGGCGTGTCCCCGAGCGCAGTGGGCGTGTCTCCCACACTATGGGCGTGTCCCAAGCTGGGTTTATCCCACAGTGGGCGTGTCCTTAATGTGATGGGCATGTCCCCAATGCGATGGGCGTGGCCTGGGGCATGTCCAGGGTGGAGTGGGCGTGTCCCTGAGTGCAGTGGGCGTGTCTCCCACACTATGGGCGTGTCCCAAGCTGGGTTTATCCCACAATGGGCGTGTCCTCAGGTGCCATGGGCGTGTCCTTGACTGCAGTGGGCGTGTCCCCATTAGAGTGGGCGTGTCCCCCATGTGATGGGCGTGTCCCTTTGCAATATGGGCGTGTCCCTTTGCAATATGGGCGTGTCCTCCACAATATGGGCGTGTCCCGAAATGCCATGGGTTTGCCTGGAGTGGGGTGGGCGTGTCCCCAATGCGATGGGCGTGACAATGGGCGTGTCCCACACAAAGTGGGCGTGGCTTACGGTCCGCAGGGCAGTCTCCGCCCCTCCCTCTGGCAGTCCCAGATCCAATCAGGGCTCACCACGACCCCGCCCCCTTCCCGGGCTCGCGCCGCCTTCGGGGTCCGGGCGAACGCGCACCTGAAAAAAAAAACAAAAAAAAATTAAAAAAAAATTAAAAATGGGCGTGGCTTGATCCGAATGGGCGTGGCCCAGCCCGGGGGGGCGTGGCCGGAAGGGGGCGGGGTTTAACTCACACCAGGTGGGTGCTGTCCGAGGTCCAGTCCGGCCGGTACCGCGCCCCCAAATCCAGCGCGGCCGCGCGGAGCCGCCCCCGCAGAGGGTTCTGGAAACCGCTCAGCACCAGCGTGACCCCGCCCAGAACGGGGGCGTGGCCTGAGGAAACGGGGCGGGGCCTCGAGGGGGGGGAGGAGCCGGCAGCATTGCGGGAAAAATTTTCCGCGTTTTTCGGGGAATTTTTGGGGTTTTTTCCAGATTTTTCGGAGGAATTTTTGGGCGAT